AGCTTCTTTGGCTTCTTGTTTCCAGAACGAGTCCAATAATTTATCGCATCCAAGAATTTAGCCAAATGAGAGCTCCATCCCTTAATAATATCTCTTAAATCAGCCAATGATATGTAATTTATCATGCTGTCATATACTATTGCCTTAAGGGATGGGAGCTGAAGCTCGACGAGAAGCCAATGTTTACGTTCCAAAACATGGGATAAACACCTGTAATCATAAGTAATAATTCATTCATTTGCGCACTTATTTATGAATACCTTTAAACTCAATCTAAAATAAATACTAACCTTATCGACCTCCCACCATGCAGGATAAAGTTTAGCTTTTCCATTGCCCAACGCAAATAATTCATCTCGTTGATTCTTCGAGTGAACGGCGTTAAAAGACGTCGGCATAATTGTATATCGTGTATTTCTTTTATTTTCCTTAAGTTTCCTAATTATTAGAAGACGTGACACCCACGCATCGATATGTAGTTTTACAAAAAAAAGACATATATTAGTAACTTACATAAATTTAAAAAAAATAATCAAATTGAAATATAAGAAAAATATAAGACTTACCCCTCCATCGAAATAGCCATTGTCTTCGACCCCTAATAATACGCCCCACCAAGACCGATCAAGCAACAAATAGATATCATCGTTGAGCTTGCATATGTCAGTGAAACACCCCTGGCTCCGCTCATGCAGATAAAAATCAATTGCGGTCTTAGCCCAAAGGGTGTTATCCAGAATTATGTCTGGTAGTTGTCTCCTCTCCACTTTAGATACCGGAATGGTACTGGCCGGTAACTCATACGAGAGCCAACTATCATCTATCATGTCCGGCACGTCAGAGGGTTTCTCAAGAATCTTACATATGACGCCATGTGAATCGGGCTCTTGAATGGTGGGAGGGACCTCTTCAACGATGACAGTGGCCTCTTGAACGGTGGGAGGGGACTCTCGAGGAATGATAGGGGCCTCTTCAACGATAAAGAGTGGACTCTTGAGGGATGACAGGCGAGTCGGGCTTCTTCTTGCGGTGTCTTCGTACTATTGGGGTGTACGGAGACTTAATAGCACGTGCACGCCGTCTGATGCGTGAACTCTGTCGTGCAAGAAAAACCCGACGTAAAGCATCCACCTTATCGGGCCGCTAAATAATTATATACAAAAATCAGTAAATAAACAGACATGATATTTAAACAGTGAAAACAAAGACAAATATGTTTCAAACTTGCATTGAATTCACCCAAGTCATTATTCTATCATAGTTCACAAAATGCATCAGATAACAAAGACAAATATGTTTCAAACTTGCAACACTGTCAACTTAGTATTTGTCTTTGTCTATTGGTTGAAGTAATGCAATTCATTCAAGTTTCAATTTGCAGAAGAAGAATAGTTTCTGGAACTTAAAATCGCAACGTGAAAAATGACTATCGCAACGCGAAATGAAAATCACAACGAGAGAATGAAAATCGCAACGCGAAACGAAAATCGCAACGAGAGAATCGCAACGCGAAATGAAAATCACAACGAGAGAATCGCAATGCGGAATGAAAATCGCAACACGATTATAGTTTCGCGTTGCGATTTTCATTCTCTCGTTGCGATTTTTATTTCAACCAAAAGACAAAACAGTGTTGCTAAAATATAGTTTCAAGAATAAACTATTTCTTCTTCTTCTGTAAATTGAAACTTGAATGGATTGCATTACTTCAACCAAAAGACAAAACAAAGACAAATACTAACTTCAGAGTATTAAAGAATACACAGTTTAGCAGAATTGGCAGCAAACAAATAAATTTGCTTTCAACCAAAGGACAAAACAAAGACAAATACTAACTTCACACTGTTAAAGAATACACAGTTTAGCAGAATTGACAGCAACCGAACAAATTTACTTTCAACCAAAAGACAAAACAAAGACAAATACTAACTTCACAGTGTTAAAGAATACACAGTTTAGCAGAATTGGCAGCAACCAAACAAATATACTTTCAACCAAAAGACAAAACAAAGAGAAATACTAACTTCACAATGTTAAAGAATACACAGTTTAGCAGAATTGGCAGCAACCGAATAAATTTACTTCAACCAAAAGACAACAAAAGACAAATACTAACTTCACAGTGTTAATAAACAGTTTAGCAGTATTGGCAGCAACTGAATAAATTTACTAAACAATCTAAGTGAAATGGTTAATCTAAGTGAAATTACGAGTAAATTTATCATCAAGTTAAATATGGAAAATCTTAAACTTACCCCGTTGCGTAGAGTATTAACCTCATTCTGCAACGATACTACCATCTCACGTAGAGCGGCAACCTCACCATGTAAAGTAGACACCTCCACACGCCATGCACCATCGTTATCGCGTAGAGTACCGATCTCCTCATGCAAGGCATTGACCTCATCACGTAACTCCCTTGACTCATCCCGTGGAGGTGGAGGTGGAGAATAGGGAGATAGAAGTCGTGGCATCTTTGCCGGTCACCTATCATGAGGTAATGGTGGAGAAGAGGCTCGATGATGTGACGGGATAGGTGATGGCTCTCGTTGTAGAGGTGTATAGTCGGGTCGATCAGGTGATGGCTCTGGGTGAGGTGATAGCTCTCGAAGTGGAGGAAGTGGAGGCTGCTCATCATTCGTGCCATCAAGAAAATGATGACTAGCTTGCCACCAATCAGTGGCAAGCTCAGCCTCCGTGGGTGTCAGTCTCATTAATGGAGTGTTGGCCTCCTAAAAATATAAAAACTCAAACAAAGTTAAACGTCTACTATTAATAACTTGTTTATATATGATAGTATTTGTGTTAACTTATATTATTTATTGTCGCATATGGTATTAAGTCTTCCCAATCCAACAGACGTTTCCTCTTCTAAGAAATAGCCCTAGGAATATCATTTGAAGTTTTTAATGCATATGTCCGCATACTGGAGAAAGCCTCGAATATCCAAATCTACAAACAATATAATAACAAACATTAGTAATTGTTAAATAATTAATTATAATTTTGAAAACATTATATAGAAATTCTTACCTTAAAGGCCCAAACAAAGCCTGACAAAGTGTATTTCGACCCATCGCCACGCAAACTTTTGCGGTCATCAAAGACAGATGACAACTTAGTCCAGGTAGCTTTCCATATATACGAACCACACAGAAACAGATTCCATGCATTTAAGTCCTCTACCAATAATATTAGCTCCTGAGGAACAGGTTGTCTGGCCTCTCTGCCTAAAAAGCCAGCATACAAAAGTACTAGAAGGCATACTCGGACAACATCAACGTCATTCATCCGAGTAAAACCATCTTTCTTATTAAACAATTTCTTCAGGTCGTCGACGTGTAAGTTCGGCTTCTTTATTGACTCATCAGGAAAAACCATGGATAACCATGATGGGCGGGTGATATGACGAGTGTACCAGCCTACATCATCGTGTCCGAATCGTATACCAGTGATTAAGCAGAACTCCTTCCGCCCAAAACAAGTATACGCCGGTGGAAAATGAAACCATCTCTTCCTCACCACGTTGTATACTGTCGGGTAGATCGCTAGTAATGGTCTGAAGCCACAAATGGGTTAAATTAGCATCTCCACCCGGATGTTGTACTCTCAGCCATGGCCCGAAGCAGGTTTCCTCAAACCTTCTCGTTGTCAATGAAGCCGAAAAAAATTTCTACAAAAACAATAAACATACCAAGTTAGATATACCAAAAACTACACTGTGAAGATATACCAAAAACAATAAACATAAATAGTAGTTTATTCTTGAAACTAAAATTTACAACACTGTTTTGTCTTTTGGTTGAAATGAAAATCGCAACGAGAGAATGAAAATCGCAACGCAGAAATGACTATCGCAACGAGAGAATCGCAATGCGATTATATCGTTGCGATTTTCATTTCTCGTTGCGATTTTCATTTCTCTCGTTGCGATAGTCATTTTCGTGTTGCGATTTTCATTTTCATGTTGCGATTTTAAGTTTAGAAACTATTCTTCTTCTGCATTACTTCAACCAAAAGACAAAACAAAGACAAATACTAACTTCACAGGGTTAAAGACTAAACAATTTAGTAGTATTGGCAGCAATCGAATGAATTTAATAAGAAATCTAAGTGAAATGGTTAATCTATTATTGAAATTACCAGTAAACTTATCATCAATTTCAATATGAAAAACCTAAAATAATGCAAAAATTTCAAAATAAAAATAATTAAAAAAACTAACCATCGAAGATTGATTTTCCATTTCTGAATGATTGTGAGGGATTTCTGACCGTGAATGGTTGTGAGGGATTTCGCCGTAGAGAGTGAGAGATGGAGATGAGACTGAGTTGTGATTTTAGGTTTTAGATTATGAGTTGCGATTACGGGATATACTGTGGACGGTTCAGTTTCTGATATATTAATATATTCGTGTTTGGAATTTGAAAAAAAAATACGCGTTAATACGAATGGCGCTATGTAAATCGCAATGCGAATTAGGAAAATCGCAACGCGAATTAGGAAAATCGCAACACGAATTTGGGAAATCGCAATGCGATAGTCAGAATCGCGTTGCGAATCTGGAAACTGATTTGCGATACCGGAGATCGCGTTGCGAATTATCGATCGCATTGCGATTTAGTTGGTCATTTTGGCAAATCCAAAAAAAGTTGGTTAAAATCGTATATTATAAGGCATTTTTTGTCACTGAGATTATTTTCTCTAGTTTAATCTAAATCAAATTTAAATCAAATTTAATTAATTAAACATTAGCGAGTTTTAACTAAATCAAATTTAAATAATTCTCGTCTCTTTACTGTGCCAAGAACAGATAAAATAAGAAAATTGTAGTTGAAACACGTGTCGCTTGATGAAGCCTCTGTGAGAAAGGTGTACACTTGCAAATCAAGACAAGTGTCACTTAAGTTGTGTTCTCTGTTACGTGGCTCCAGAACTCTGTTCCTATCTTCTTATATAAATCCCCACCAGATTCCTAACTTCTACTGTACCAACCAACTTATCTGTTGACAAAGAGATTCTTTATCAGTTTCTACAACACGGTCCATCAACAAAATCATGGCTTTTAGATCAACTGTGAGTCATCCTTCTTTTATGTTTATCATACTCCATTGGATTTATTGTTTAAAATTGTATTGTGTGATGATGATGATGATGATGATGATGATTGATCCCAGGTTTGTTTGAAGCAGTTAGCTAATCATTTGCGAGGAAGAGCGACGTATGCGACCTCAACGCCACCGAGACTGAAATCCTACGCACCGACAGCTGATCATTTCGGGCACTCTCAAGACGTGAAGCCGCCGAAGAGAAAGGGCGATTACGTGGCGATATACGTTGCGGTTGGCATGATAGCGTTGGCAACCACACTGGGGGTTCACACGGTGGTGCAACAGCTAAAGAACTCGCCGCAGGTGCGAGTTAACAAGAAGAGGAGGGAGAGTTTACCCGAGGTGGAGGAGCCGGAGCGAGTGCTGGATGAGGCTGACAAGTTCGTGAAGCAGTCGTTTTTCAGGAAAGTTGCGCATGTTCAGAAGAACGATGATGATTATGCCATTGATGATCCCACACGGGCTGATATGTTCGCCGATAAACCTAAGTATCGGGTTGAATCTCTGAAATCAGTTGGTGTTGATCCTAAGCTTCGTGTATAAGATGGTTAATTTTATGTTGCAAGGTTCCTTTTTCTCCCTATAGCTCATGACCTGTGCAAGTATAGAGTAAACATAATATGGAATGGACGGTGTGTTAGTCTTGTTTGCTGCTTCACTTGGCTTAGATGCTCATGTCCTTTTCAAGTTCGTTTCAAGTCTCAATTGATCAAGCCACATAGTTTTGAACCTATACAGTCATATATAACTTAGATATATACATAAAATTTAAATTTAACTATATAATTTTAAAAATAAGTATGTATATTTAATATAATATTTAAACCTAAAAGGAGCGCAGAGGTTTTTGTCCTAGTGAAAGGAGCGTGAAGGTACTCTTTTCTCAATGAAAAGGAAGTCATCTCCAACAATTTTATGAAGATAAAGATATCTGAGTCACAGAATTTTTCTAGAGCATGATAATGTCTCCGTTATATCTGCAGTGGGCTTATTGCATGTTGAATTCTCATCTAAATTGGTCAAGGGCTTTGAGATATCCTTGTTACAGGAGTCAAATTACAAAGTAAAAGTAAGACAAAGAAAAAGGTTAAGACTTTTAGGTATCGTAATAAAGATATGGAAAGTGATATGTTATGTTGATTTTGGTTGTCTTTTGAAAGAAAAAGATAGTGCCTTCAAAGCAGAGGAAAGTTCATGATTTTTTTTTCTAGAATAAAGGATGAATATAAGAAATAAGAATTATTTTCACTATTTAAAGAGATAAAGACATAAGGAATATATGTGAACGGTTTAAAGAACTAAGTGTGATAAAGGATCTTAAAGAGGTGTACCTGATAAGCTTGACATGTCGTAAACAAATTTCAGTTCTTAATAGAAAAGAGAAAACGTTTCAATTAATTTTGTAACTGAATTACTTTTGACATCGAATAAAAAGGATTCAATCTAAGTAATTGGTGACATCGAATAAAAAATGATTCAATCTAAGTAATTGGGGAGCAAGTAACAAAGATTACGCATTCCATTACGGTTAGAACTGATTTTTTATGGAGATAGTCAGACTACATGGAATACTAGTATTAATGTTATATGAGGGGTTTCAGGTTAACCTCAAGGTTTTGGAATTTTTTAGCAAGGCCTACGGAATTTGATCAAATTTTTTGTGCTATTGTCCATCCGCAGGTAGTTGGTTAGTCTAACAAGGTTATTCAACTTTTGAAAGTTATGTTAAGACATGTGTGAACAAGTTTAAAGGATCATGAGAAATGATATTCTAAGTTGAGCAAGCATAAGTGTGGATTCTTTAAGGTTGTATTTTATTGCCATGTAGACTCTGTTAAGTGGATAAGGATTGTATAGTAAAGAAGTTCGATATATAGTCAAATAAATTCAAAGAATGATAAGAAGATAGTCAATAATTATATTTTTCTTTTACTAAATTATTGAGGATGAATGATATTATATCTATTAGGATTTCAAAAGTCAAATGTATGTGAAGGAGTGTAAAAACAGGAAATGGACTAATTATCTGGAGATTGATGAAGTGTTTATTAGTTGCATCATGGCAGGTTAATATGATTATGGGTATGACAAAGTTATAAGATAATTTTACTTTGAGAAGTGTTGACTATATAATGGTCTTTAAAAGAAAGATAAATTTTAGTGTTCGTCAAATATAGAATAAGTAGAAAAAAGGATAAATTGAAGATTTAAAGTCTGGGGATGGTTGCATGCCATGAAAAAGAGTTCTTCTGGGGATGGTTGCATGCCATGAAAAAGAGTTCACATCAAGTTAATTTTAAATAAATATCATGTCCGCAAGTTAGGAAATTTTCAAGATAGCTTTATATGAAGTTTTTCGTATAAGAATATATGGGACATCATTAAGTTGGTTGGAATTGAAAGATTGAGACTTAGTGCGGCCAAATTTGATTAAGTAAGTTAAGATAAGTGAAGATTATCAAGGAATTTGAAAGAAATTTTTCAAGGAAATGACAAAAGTTCAATGTCTTCCATGTTTCGATATTAAGAAATATTGAATAGGTCTTTCTCACATCATAGCACGGGAAGAAATGAAAGTTTAATATGTCCTGATTCATAAAGAATAACCAATACGGATTTTAGTAAGTGAAGTAAATAACTAAGATATGCAATGAATCTGTCACATAAAGTTCTTTAGGAAGTCACAAGTGAAGGAAATAGCATAGAAGCGTGAAATGGACTTAAGGAAACAAGTTTCTTATCTCTTTTTATAGTGAAAAATCGAGGACGGATTTTTTTAAGTGGGGGAGAATTGTAACACCCCAAATATTGGGTTAGTGACTAAAGTGTAAGGATTAAAAAGTTAGTCGTTTAATTTTAATAATTAGAAAAGTTTAAGGACTAATTTGGAAAATTTGCATATAGGATTTATTATTCAAGATTGATGGTTGGAAGGGAAAAGTGGTCTTTTATCATGAAAGGAATTAAAAATTCATTTATAAGGTTATTTAAGCATGTGGGAAATGAGGAAAAAAGAAAGGAAAATCCTGGATATTCTTCTATTCTCTTCTTCTCTTCTTCTCTTCCACCATATGCTTCCATGAGTAAGGTAAGCTGATTTAAGTTGTTTTATTCCTTCATTTTTGATTTGGTTTTGGTTCCTTTGGTATTATAGAAACTTAATAAAGCTTAAAGATAAATTGAAACTAAGAGATTGATAAATTAATGGTGATTTAGTAAAATGGGTTTTTGAGGGAATTGTTAGGAAATGATGAATATTTGAATTCTAATGGAATATTTGACTTGTCAAGGGTTTAATTAAGGGATTAAAAGTATCAAAAAGGATTAAGAACATGTTTGAAGAAGTGATATGATTTTCAGTCTCAAAAGTTATATGGATAAATTTGGATATCTAAAGCAGATTATTGTATATAAGTTAATTGGGGTGAGTGTAAGTAAGTTTAAAGGCACGAATGGGGTATAAAGTAGGAGATTTAAGTGAAGATGAGTAATTTTTTGAAGTGAAACAGAAGAATTTTGGGTAAGGGTATAGGTACTGGAAGAACAGTACCATTAATATAAGGTTAAATTTAAAGAATTTTGTATGAACCAAAGAACAATATCGATACTAATTGAATTAGTATCAGTAATGAGGTGGAGATATCGATACCAAGAGGATGGTATCAATACTGTATTTGAAAGGTGATTTCCATAATGATAAAATGTTATCGGTACTGAAGTGGATATAGGTACCATAGAAGAGAAGTATCAGTATTGTAGGCAGAGTATCGATACTAGTTAGTCTGAAATGTTAAATTAAGTGTTTTATTTCGTTTAAGTAAAGATTAATTGGGCAGATGTATTTGAGTTCTGATATTCTTGGGTCATATTAATGTGTAGAGTTTATCAGAATCAAGTGTTGAAAGAATGGACGTGCATAGTTAGTAAGCTAAAGGAAAAGAGGTATTGCTTAGGGCTTAATTGAGGCAAAGATGAGTGCTATTTATTTAAATAAATTATTATTGGAGGAAGGCTTGTGATGATTCAACCTAAAAATGTTTTTAACCAAAATGAAATGACATGAGTTTATGTGAAGATTTTCTATATAAGTATGATTCATATAAGTAAATGAATAAGTGGAATAATGATATGTAATATGAAATAATTATGTGAATCATTATGAAAATATGTTATGTGATTAAAGGAAAATATTGAAGAACTATGAGAAATAAAATACTTTGAATAAATGTTTGGATGTGAATAAATAAGAATAGTGATAATGCTATGTGAAGTGTATGTGAAAATGTGATATATATATATATATATGAAACTATTCTATGTGAAAGTAAACTATGAGAATGTACTCTATGCCAATAATATACACTTTAATTAGTGAAACTCAAAATAATTATAAGTTAAAGCCCAAGGTATATGTATGAAAATTAGAGGTATGGTTGGCATGCCAAGAGTCAAGGGTTCTATGTGATCCTTCGGTACAAAATTATGTGGCACTTTAGTGCAAACCTATGTGGTCCTTTGGGACAATTATGTGGCACTTCGGTGCAAATTATGTGAGCTGCGGTGACAGCATTAGTGCACAACCTCAATGTACTCACATACCTTGAGTTCTTAGTATTATGCGTTGGGCCAATTAAACAAATGAATATTAAATGAAAAGTCTATATTATTAATTACATGAAAGGTATAATCAGGAATCAAATGAGTATAAATTCATCAGTGATTAATAAGAGATGTTGTACGTTATAAGACTTGTGGTATTTTGTAATTTAACATTTCTTTTGTAAATTAACAATAAATGTTTTATTGTTTTATATTACTCGTAATGCCTCACTAAGTCAATGACCTAGCGTGTGAGTGTTTTCACACGTAGGTTCAAAGCCATGTGAGGAGTTAGCAAGGGGCATGAAAATATATCCTCAAAAATTATCAAATCAGAGAAATGTGAAATGTATGTGATTATATAGAAATGTTGTTGGCATGTACTATAATTTTAAAGTATAGATGCTCTGATATGTATTTTAGCTATGCTTTATTAAGTTTTTTTCCTTGTAAGGATTTAATCGTATTATTAAATGTTTTCAAAAGTTTGAAAAGTTAATGTGACACATCGGATTCGTATCTGGGTCGGATACGGGTCAGGGGGTGTTACAATAACATAATGAGGAAGTATCGGTACTAGGACTATGGTACCGATACTGTTCAGATTGAAATTTTGAATTCAATGTTTTGTTTTGCTTAAGTTATTAAGGATTGATTATTTGTGATATTGAACTACATGATTATATGAAAATGTGATATAAGCTATGTGATATGATCTATGTGATTATTTGTCTATGTGATATAAGCTATTTGAAATGGTATAAATTGTAAAGCCCAAAAGTATTATTAAGCAAATAATGTCAAGATCATGTTGGAGGTTCTCCACTATTCTGAAGTAGAGAAGTTAGATGGAGTGGTCTTGTTACTACGAGGTGAAGCTCGGGTATGGTGGACTAATGTCTCTATGAGAATGTCAAGTGACCAAGTGACATGGTCTTTATTCTTAGAAGAGTTCAAGAACTCGTATATCGGGGATAAGTTTATTAAGCAAATGAAGCAAGAATTTATCAGTCTGAAGTAATGGAATCACACTGTGTATGAGTACGAGTGCGAGTTCAATAAGTTGAGTAGATTTTCTACTGAGCCGGTTTCGACTAAAAATTATTACTGCGATTTGTTTGTTGAGGGCTTGCACCCCAGAGTAAAAGAGTTGTTAATAGTTTTGAATCTGTCCTCATTTCAAGAAGTGGTTAATCGTGTTAAATCTCTAGAGAGAGCTTATAATGAGAGGTATGGAGAACAAAAATCTCAGATGACTAAGAGAGATGATGATTCATCAAGCTCAGCACCATTAAAGAGAGGCATAGATTCTGATTTTCAATCTAATACGAGATCTGAGTCAGCTGTATCCTCTACCAGAGGATCAAATCCAATGAAGAGCATGACATGCACCTTAGAGTAGTTCTAAAAAATTTACGAGATAAGAAGCTTTATGCCAAACTGTCTAAGTGTGAGTTTTGGTTAGCTGAGGATACATTCCTTGGGCATGTGGTATCTGCAGATGGAATTCGTGTAGATCCTCATAAAATAAAAGACATATTAGACTGGGAAATTCCAAAGAATGTGTCAGAAGTTCGGAGTTTCCTAGGTCTTGCAGGTTATTAACGAAGGTTCGTTAAGAACTTTTCGATGATAGCTTTGTCGTTGACCAAGTTGCTGAGGAAAAATGTATCATTTTCCTGGACTCCTAAGTGTCAAGAGAGTTTTGAAGCGTTAAAGAGAATTTTGACAGAAGCTCTAGTATTGATCCAACCCAAATCTAGCAAGAACTATGTGGTTTACAATGACGCATCCCATAATGGCTTGGGATGTGTATTGATGCAAGAAGGTAAAGTAGTGGCATATGCATCGAGGCAATTGAAACTACACTAGAAAAACTATCTGACGCATGATTTGGAGTTGGTTGCAGTAGTGTTCACTTTTAAGATATGGTGTCACTACTTATATGGTGAACGTTGCTACCTCTACACGGATCATAAGAGTTTAAAGTATTTGATGAGTCAGAAAGAGTTAAATTTGAGACAACGAGGATGGATTGAGCTTCTTAAAGATTATGATATGGTAATTGATTTTTATCCCGGGAAAGTAAATGTGGTAGCTGATGCTTTGAGTCGGAAAACGATCTCAGCTTTACGAGCTTTAGATGCGAGGTTGTCATTAAATGGAGATGGTGCATTACTTGCTGAGTTAAAGCTTAAGACAATTTTGTTGGATCGAATTAAAGACTTACAAAGTAAAGATGATAAGTGTTTGAGAAGAGTGGAGCAAGTGGAAAATGAAAGGAATAAGGATTTTGAAGTTAAGCTAGATGGCCATCTTTATTATCGTGGAAGGCTTGTTATTCCGGATAATGTGGAATTGAAGAATGACTTGTTGACAGAAGCTCATTATAATCCGTTGACTATGCACCTAGGTGAAAATAAGATATATATGGATCTTAAAAGTCGCTAATGGTGGTCAAGAATAAAAAGAAGTATCACTGAATTTGTGTCCAAGTGTTTGACGTATCAGCAAGTAAAAGTTGAACATCAGGTTCCTTCTGATTGTTGCAATCAATCTCTATTCCTCAGTGGAAATGTGAGAATATTACGATGGATTTTGTAACGGTGTTACCTTTGAATCCGAACAAAAGAGATTCAATTTGGATGATCTTTGATCGATTGACTAAGTAAGCGCATTTTATTCCTGTTCGAACTGATTTCTCTATGGACAAGTATGTTGAATTGTATATTAGAAAGATTGTTAAACTTTATGGTGTACCTTATTCGATAGTTTCTGATCGAGATCCACAATTTACTTCAAGATTTTGGAAAGCTTTGCATAGAGTTTTAGGGACTTGATTAACTTTAATACAGCCTTTTATCCTCAGACAGATGGACAGTCTGAGCAGACAATTTAAATCCTAGAAGATATGTTGCGGGCATGTGTTATCGAGTTCAAATGATCTTGGGAAAAATATTTGTCACTCGCAGAATTTGTTTACAACAATAGTTATCAATCAAGCATTAAGATGGCTCCCTATGAGACTTTATACGGGAGGAAGTGTCATACACCATTGAATTGGTACGAGCTTAAGGATTGGGAAGTTCTTGATCCTGAATTGATCAAATAGGTATAGGAGAAAGTTCAAGTGATTCAGCATAATCTCAAAGGGGCAGTCGATAGACAGAAGTCATATGTCGATATAAAGAGAAAAAAGATTCAGTTAGAAGTTGGAGATAAAGTATTTTTTAAAGTATCTCCATGGAAAAAAGTGCTACGTTTTGGCCGGAAAGGAAAACTTAGCCCCATATTTATTGGGCCATGTGAGATTATTAAGAGAGTGGGACCAATGGCATATCAGTTAGTTTTGCCACCGGAATTGGAGAAGATTCATAATGTTTTCCATGTTTCCATGCTTCGAAGATATCGATCTGATACTTCTCATATCGTTGTGCCAGAAGATATAGAAGTTCAACCTTACTTGACCTATGAGGAAGAACAGGTGCAGATTTGGCATATGAAGTTAAACAGTTAAGGAATAAGAATATTTCATTGGTCAAAGTTTTGTGGAGGAATCATAAAGTAAAGGAAGCAACATGGGAACGTGAGGATGATATGCGTAGACAATATCCCCATATCTTTATACAGTGAAAATTCAGTGACGAATTTTCTTAAGGGGGAGATTTGTAACATCCCAAACACCGGGCTAGTGACCAAAGTGTAAGATTTTAAAACTTCGTGATCAATTTAGATGAATTAAAAAGTTCAGGGACTTAATTAGAAGTTATTTTTGTAGGTTGTTTAGCAAAGATTGAGAGGTGAAAGGGTATAATGGTCATTAGACAAGGAAATAAGTTAAAAATTCATTGTTGGGTGTTATATATCCACGTGGAAAGGGAAAGAAAAGGTAAAGGAAATCTAGATTTTTCTTCATCTTTCTTCCTCCTCTCCACCGTGAGTTCCTAACTAAGGTGAGTTTGTCTTAATTTGATTATTCCTTTCATTTTTAAGTTGGTTTTTAGTCTTTAGTGGTTATATAAGATTAAGAAAAGCTTAAGATTGATCAAAACTATGAGATGTGTGAATTAAAGGCAATAAGTAAAAAGGGTTTTTAAGAGAATTTATGAGAAAGGATTAGTAAATGAATTTTGAAGTCATATATGACTTTTCATGAGTTAGAATAAGAAGATTAAAGTGTTGGAAAAAGGATTTGGGATGTGTGCATTAAATGGTATGATTTTTAGTTTTAAATGTTCTAATGGGGTTTTGGATGTTTAGGTGTAGTAAAGTGATGCAATTTGGTTTTGGTAATTATAGTTGAGTTTAAAAGTATGGAAGGAGTTAAAGAGTGAGATTTAAGTAAGTTTTGGTAAATTTTTGGGTTGTAATGATTAAGTTCTGGGCAAGAGGTATCGGTACTGTTCATCCAGTACCGATACTCCAAAGCAAAAATAGGTAAGATATGGGTTTGGGTATCGATACTAGAACAATAATATCGATACCATAAGGTGAAATTGTATGCATCAATAGTATAGTATCGATATCGAAGAAGTAGCATCGATACCAAGGGTATCGATACCAATGTATAAGTATCGGTACCATTTTTAGAGACGAATTCCAGAATGTAGAAATGGTATCGATACTGAAGTATAATATCGATACCATAATGAGGAAGTATCAGTACTAGGACTAGGGTATCGATACTATTCAAATTGAAATTTTGAATTAAGTGTTTTGTTTAGCTTAAGTTATTAAGGATGGATTAATAGTAATATGAATTCTGATATTCATATCGATCGTATATTTGTGTAGATATCGAGCGAAGACGAGCTCTGGACTAATCAACAATATAAGATCGATCAAGAGAGAGATAAAGATTGTGCTTTGACTAAGTGAGTGCATACTACTATATATATATATTGTCTTATGGAAAGAAGACTTGCGATGAATATATTTCCTATAATTGATTTAAAACAATGTTTGAAAATTCATGAAATAATATGATGATATGTCATGAATATAAGCATAGTTTTGATTTTTTTTACTACGTGAACATGCATTGTTTATATTTCATTATATTTGACATGATCTATGTGATTATATGAAAATGTGATACAATTTATGTGATATTGAACTACGTGATTATATGAAAATGTGATATAAGCTATGTGATATAATCTATGTGATTATTTGTCTATGTGATATAAGCTATGTGAAATGGTATAAATTGTAAAGCCCAAAAGTATGTGATATGAGAGCTAAAGTTGTAATTGACATGCCAAGAGTCGAGGGTTCTACGCAGTCCTTCGAGACATTTCTACGCGGTCCTTCAGGACATATCTATGTGGTCCTTCGGGACATTTTTACGTGGCACTTCAGTGCATATTCTACGCGGCACTTCGGTGCGTGCAATTTATACGAGCTGTGGTGACAGTATTAGTGCACAACCTCAATGCACTCACATACCTTAAGTTCTCAATGATGTACCAATGGCTATTAAAGGAAATAATCTAAATGAATAGTGCATGATATATATATATATATGCATGTATGCTTTTGTTTTATAATGTGCTCTATGGTTTCTTTATATGATTTTATGAAAAGCTTACAATATGATTAAGTGTTTTAATGTTTTATTATACACTTTATATGCCTCACTAAGTCAACGACTTAGCGTGTGAGTGTTTCATACGTAGGTACAAAGAATCATGAAGAACAAGGCTAGGATCAATCAAGATAACATATATCTACCAGAAGATCATATCAGAAGTGATTTATACAGTATGTTATTTTGTTATACTAAATGTGTTAGCGTGTAATTAAAGGTTTGAACTGCATATGCTCTGATCATTTTTTTAAAACATACAATATTATATTTATGCAAATTATTGAGTTTCTATTTTCAAATTAAGTTGAATTCTATTTATTTACTTTTGATCAAGGGTTCCACCATTTTTATACAAATAAAAGTTTAAAATTTTCAACTATCTTTTAATAGTAAATATTTTAGAAAGTCAATGTGACAACTCGGACTCGTATCCAGGTCGGATACGGGTTGGGGTGCTACAGAGTCAATCCGAAGGTAATATGGTGTTGAAGACGACACTACTCATCCATGTTGAAGAGTTCTGGCCGCTTTCATTTGATGATATTCCTTCTTATTGAGGAGATCTGGTCGGTTGACTACATTATTCCTTCGTGTTGAGGACGTCTAGCCGTATTTGGAGATAATTTGGAGACAACACGGTTCCTTTGCGTTAAGGAAATTTGATTGTCTAGGATGACACTGATCCTTCCGTTAAGGAGATCTGTTTGGTGGACGATAGTGTTCCTTCGTGTTAAGGACGTCTAGCCGTGTTGAGGACGTCTAGCCCTATTTTGACCGTTTGATTCGACATGGTTCCTTTTTGGTGAGGAAAACTAGTTGTTCTTGAAATATTGTGAATCTGAAGACAATGTTGTTCCTTCTTGCTGAGGAACTCTAATTGTCTAAAAATAGTTTTACTTTGAAAAAGAAGTTTCTCCTTCATGCTGAGGAAAGCTAATTGTTACTTGGTGTCAAATATAATGATGACATTACTCCATCTCGTTGAGGAGATCTACTCATGGTTACCCATGATTAACTTGAAAATGAAATCTTCTTCTTCAACATGGGTTTATGGAATGAAATTATTTGCTATCTCTTAGAATTCCTGTCAAATATTCAATATTTTAGTGAAAATAAATGAGTGGAAAGAAATTTGCTTCCAGAGAAGCTATCTCAGGTGAGATAAAATTTTGTTTCGAGTGAAGCAATTTCAAAATTTACGTTTCAAGGGAAAATTATCTCAAGCGAGATGAAGAAAAACAATCTCAAATGCTAGTGTCTTAAGGAATAATGTCTCAAGTAAGACGAAATTTGATTTTAAGAAAAACATTCTCAAGTGTTCATGTCTTGAGGAAAACTGTCTAAAGTGAGACAAAATTTGTATTGAGAAAAATGATCTCAAGTGAGATCGACTTTGTTTCAAGTGAAACAACTCCAAAATTTGGGCTTCAAGGGAAACAGTCTCAAGCGAGACTAAACTTTGTTTCGAGAGAAACAATCTCAAAGGTGACAAATAGTCTGCTCCTGCATGTTGAGGAGATCTAGTTGCTTTAATACTTCATTCTCTCGGGAAATCTGAAAACGACACCATTCATTCACGTTGAGGATATCTGGTTGTATTTTGATGGCTCAATTTGACATGGTTCCTTCTCAATGAGGACGACTAGTCATTTTGAGTCTTGAGACGGCATTGTTCCTTCTTGCTGAGGAAGTCTAGTTATCTGGAGATAATTTGTCTTTGAAAGCGATATTGCTCCTTCGTGCTGAGGAGAGTTAATCGTTGCTCGATGGCAAATCCAATGATGACATTTCTCCTTCTTGTTGAGGAGATATAGTCACCTTTGGAAGATCTTATCCTTCACTTTAGGACGTTAAATTTGTG